AGCTCCCATGTCCTTCCAAAGCCGTTTGTTCATCTGAAGCACTGCACAGGCAGGCACTGTCATTCCCATAAGGTCAAAGCAAAGCAGAACAGGTATTTTTCTTCTATGTTTTGCTAGTTAAAATTTGACATGATGGACACGTGTACTGTTGGGATATGGAGAAGGAATTTCTTCTGCATGACACTGCATGATGTTTGGATAGGGTTGGAGCTGCATCTGCTTTGCAAGGAAGAATTCTGGAAAACCAAATCACAGATATCTGGTTTGCTGTCTTCATAAGAAAAGCTGGTTGCTAACCTTTGTCTCTTGAAGAGCTGTTGCTTTGTGGTCTATTTCATCTCTAGAGAACAGCTCTTCCATATAGAAGCATCTGCCTATGATGTGTGCACATCATACAGCTATTCATGCTTCCAGAGGGGTATAGATGCCAGGGTCAGCTGCATGCTTTTTTGTTGCCTCTGTCTTTTGGTGGTAATGTGTCTACCCAATATGCAGTTCTTTTCATTCCTTTTGCTCTTCTTTAAATTGATGGCTGTGCTGCATGAAGAGTCCTTTTTGTTTATAATGGAGGATTGATGGTGCCTGTTTTCAGATAATTGCAGAAACATGTTCTGGGTTGGTTTGTCTTACTTGTTAGTTACACACCTTGAGTCATATCAGCAAGTGGTTAGTTTTAGTAGGTGGGTCAGAATCACCTGTGAATGTCAATCCTGCCGAACGCAGACTTCTTTCCTAGGACCATTTGAGGTCTCACAAGAAATGGTCTGGAGAAATTCTAGCAAAGATTCACTCTTAGCTGTTGACATTCTCATGCAACTCAGCCTTCGTGTTGCTCACTGCTGTAAGTGGTAGGAGTGCTGCATGAACCTTAGCCTGTGCAATTAGCTTAATATATCTGGGAAAATGTGTAGGAGATCGCATTTAGAATAAATCTGGTTTCCTGGGAAGCAGCAAATCTTCTGTCCATTCATCAGTTTCATCATGAAACAAGAAGGTGCTACAATATGTGGCCATCCCTTGATTCTACAATAAGCAAAAGAGTTTTCCTGGCCAGGAAAGTTGAACTGTAAGTACTGGCAGATAACTCAGTAAAAATCATGCTCAGTAAATTCCTAGCAGAATAGAGAAGTTCTTGACGAATGGTATTCAAAAGTCAAAACAATATTTATTTGTTTGAGAGAACCAGTTTATTGGAGTGAAAAGATAATATTAGCCTATTTGTCAGCACCTCTGTCCTGGACCATTAGTGTATAGCACAAAAGGATTGGGTTTCACTTCTTAGGAAAACTGAAGTGAAGAAAGTCTTTAACACTCCCAAGAGAAAAGCAGTAAACTCCCTGTCCTGTTAGTGGAAAATATTTTGATTACCTCCTGTACAGAGTATGTCCAGAAAAGAGAAATTTTTTTAGTATCATAGAATGGATTGGGTTGGAAGGGACCTCAAGGATAATCAAGCCCCAACTCTCCTGTCTCAGGCAGGGCCACCAACTAATCTAATACTAGATCTAATTGTCTAATACTAGACCATACTGCCCAGGGCTCCATCCAACCCGGCCTTGAACACCTCCAGGTACGGGGCATCCACAACCTTTCTGGGCAGCCTGTTCCAGTACCTCGCCACTCTCTCTGTAAAGAATTTCTCCCTGACATCCAACCTAAATCTTCCCTCCCTCAACCTAAAACCATTTCCCCTTGTCCTGCCATTATCTATCATTGTAAAGAGCTGAATTCTCTCCTGTTTCTAGGCTTCCATTATGTACTGAAATGCTGCAATGAGGTCACCCCGCAGCCTTCTTTTCTCCAGGCTGAACAAGCCCAGCTCCCTCAGCCTGTCTTCGTAGGGGAGGTGCTCTAGTCCCCTGATCATCTTTGTGGCTCTCCTCTGGACCCTCTCCAACAGCTCCCTGTCTTTCTTGTACTGGGTGCTGCAGACCTAGACAAGTACTCCAGATGGGGCCTCACAAGGTCAGAGTAGAGGGGGACAATCACCTCCCTGTCCCTGCTGGTCGCCTTTCTTCTGATGGAACCAAGGCAATTTTAAAGAATGTAAACTTTTTTTTTTTTCAGATAATGTAGAAATAATA